GGGGGGGGGGGGGGGGGGGGAGGGAGGTGAATTTGAATTTGAACTGGTGTATTTAATGCCGCTAGGAAAGACGAAGGGTTAAGGATGGGCCTCAGGTCTAACCAGGACTTCCTTAGGGCCCATAATGAGGCCGTACTCTAAGCTCACCCAATTATGATCTATGCATTTTGTCTTGCCTCTGGCCAACAATTGTTAGTTACCGGACTGAGTGATAAATTTAAATATTAGTAATTTTTTATACTCTGTTTGATAAGAGAGATGAAAAGTAGGATGAATACATTTTTTATTATTTAAGAAAAAAAAGTAGAAATGATACATTTTTTTTCTTTGTATTTGGTATGATGGATGAAAAATAAAAAATGACAAATAATTAACTTTCTATCTACTTTCCTTTTGATTTTGAATGGATTGATTTTGATGAGTTGAAAGGAAAGTTAATACATCCACTTTTTCATCCTTCCTATTTTTTTTCCTTATCAAATATGATATTTTATTTATCGCTTCAACTTTTCATTTTTCCACCATATCAAACGGAGCATTAGGGTCAAGTTATGAAAAATTTATCCCTCGTGAATATTCCAATTTTAGCGTGGATGGTCTAACTTTAACCAAAGAGAATTAATGAGCAAAAATTGATCCAAATACATCTAACCTTTAAACTGAAAAAAACAACTCACCAACTAATTATTAGCGGATGAAAGTTTGTGCCCTCTTTCCATTTCATTACAAGCATGCTTGCATTCTTGAAGTCAAAGCCATTTTATTAGGAATTTGTATTTCTTTTTGACAATCTATAACCCTCAATCTATAAGAGGCAATGTGATTTGATTTATTTATAGTTCCGGTAGACGTTACATAGAACAATAAATAATGAAACTTTTCACGTATTTGATTGGACAAACGATGATTACTAGTATCGAAAAATAATTTTTTACCCTCCCATAATAATATTAAGTGGTCATTTGTTTTGATTCTTTTATTTAAATATTTAATTGGTAAATTAGAAGAGCCTGCCATGTTTTAATAAATAGTTAGACTTGTGCCAACAATTTTCATTTTAACTGTAGTTATTTATACATACTAACGATACACAAAAGTAGATTTATGCACGACATGTTGAGTAATTAATATAAATAATAAATGCAATAAATATAAATGTGAGATCAACACAGGTAATACACAGATATAGAGTGGTTCGATCAGGGTGATCTATTCTATTTGGAACGCGGCAACGGTAGCCAAAAGACTTTATTGATAAGTAGTAAGTAGTAGAGAGAGTACGCTCAAGATTGTGTGTGAGGTCTCTGTATGAGAGTTAGCTATATTAGAGAGATATTTCTCCTCATGTGTAGAAGGATTACAATTTATAAATATAGAGTATTAGTTGAGGCGGTTGTCCAAAAAAGTAGGTTATTAGTCTTCCGGAGACGATAGCTACAACTAAGTATATATACAATTAGAGATAGTCTTGATTTAGGAGAATGACTATCTCAATAATTATTCTTCACGTGTGTTAATCCTTCTAAAATCCTTAAACTTTGGACTGGGTTGAATCCATGAATTGGACTAGATCTACTTTTCGATGATTTGGACTCAATCAATGAATTGGGTACAAACCTAGTCTAAATCTGGGCTCGTCACATACACTTCTTATTTTTATTTTAACTTTAAATTGTGTTTTTTTTTGTTATAGGTATTGTGAAAACTGAACTTCGAAATAAGATTGAAAGTTGCTAAAATAATTGGTATGGATTCAAGCATAGGTAATTCATATGATAGGAAGAAAATGTGGAATACTATTTTGATAGACGAATAAAATGATATGTCAAATACTAATTTGACAGCCGATTAAGAGAATATTTATTTAAAAATTTATTCCTACACTTCTTTTTCCATTTTTTTTTCTTTGTTTATGGCTAGCGTATCATTATTTGTTGGTGTGATATGTTTTATACTTTGCAAATTAAATCTACAAACCATGTTTGCATGCTTTTGGTTTCGTCTCTGAGTACAGGTTGTTTACCTTTATCAACTATGTGATCGAACTAAAATGCAAGAACTTGAAACATTGTATAGCAAAAATGATCTACCAATACACCTAAGCATGCTTTTGTATAGTTGTTATAGCCGAAAAACATCATTACTACGTGTACAAACCATGTTTGTAATATATGTAATGTAAACTTGGCATATGTAAAATCACTCTTAAATCACGTACATCGAGTCAACCAAAACGTCTTTTGTGAGACTAAACTCGAAAGCTTGATGACAGGTTCGGTGTTGGTAACTAGTGTTTTATTAGCAAGAGCTTCACTGACGTTTGTGCTTAAGGATTTAGAAGTCAAGCTCAGTGGAAGACTTTGAGAGAGCTTTACATACAAAATAGGTCATTAGCACGAATGGACCTCTCTGCACTGAACATGACAGAGACTGGAGCCTAAACAAACCTAATCAACTGGACTAATCATAAAATCAAAGACTTCAGTCTCAAAAACCATCTATCTAAAACAACTTTTCGTAATTGTGCCCAACAGTTTATCCCTCTGCTGCATGGTGAGGACTATCAGTCATTCAAGTAGGCGGCGGATTCATGTCGAGTCTTAGCGGGTTCGTATTAAAACTAAAATTCATTCATACTCGATTTATTTATGAATTTATGTCTAATAAGTCGTGTATCGAGTTTGTGTCATGTATGAGTCATGTATAATAAGTATATAAATGAGTTATTTTTTTGATTAATTTCACATTAATCGTGTCGTGTCGTGTCCACTCGTTTATGAAACATGTGGCTTGTCAAATCTTTTAATTCTGTGTCATATTCATGTTATATTTGGACATCCTTACGTCCAAGCAATCTAAGAAAGAATTGTGTCTAATATACAAGGTTCATCTATAGCGGGATTTAGGAGAAGATAGAGAGAGAGAGATTTTTAGACTCGAACCAGCGATCTATTGCTTGAAAACCCTCACCTACATCGGGATTTATATAACATCTTCTCAACGTTGAAGTTGTGAAAAATAGGTTTCTTCAAAGAAGTAACATAAAAAGTTAACGAATAATGTTATACTGATTAAATTTTGAGACTAAATCAAGAGTTCAAATGACATGGTAATTGATTTAGACTTCCTTATTTAATGTTATGTCATTTGAGCCCCAATAAAAACTTCAAATAATCTATTACTATGTCATTTAGGTTTTTAATGTAATCTTAAAACTTGATGACCAGAACACTGAAAGTTAACAGAAAATAGTGTCCTCAAAAGTCAAAAGTGATTGTCATCTCTGTAATTATAGTTTCCATTTCTCCACGAAGCTGTCAACATAAGTCCAAAAATCCTAATGTTTGCTGGCTCTACTTCAAGGGTAAGAACATAACAGATGACACAATACAAGTGAGCTTCTTCTTCCAAGTCTTCTTTTTTCCAAGTCACTCCACTACTGCCTAATCCTCATTGATGTATGGATTTGATTCGGTACCTTTTGAGACGATACTGTTATATAATATGTATAAACTACGAATCTTACACAACGTGACTGAATCGTCTGAATTGTATCCGAATTAATACCGAATTGTTGAGTTATCGTCATCGAATCGGTCAATACGGTTCTATTACGCCGTAGTATGATTTGAATCTCTTGTTCAACATTTTATTTTAGGTTGTATTGCTTAATACTTTGTCACAACCAATTTATTTTAGACTTCTTCGAGTTAATGGCCGATAATAAAACCTTAAACCATAATATAGACACACACCCCACACAATATTTCCATTCAGATAACTGCATCTCTCTCTTCTCAAACTCTAACCTCACTCTTGTTGAGATGTGCATCAGAACCCAGCCTTTGTTTCTCCTTCAAAGTCTGCTTTTCTTTTTCTTATCTTTCAACACCGTTTTCTGCACTGGGATAGATACCATCTTCCCAGGTCAGACAATCTCTGGGAACCAAACTATAACTTCACGAGGTGGAAGATTCGAGTTGGGGTACTTCAAACCAGGTAACTCAGAGTACTTCTACATAGGAATATGGTACAAAACAATTAAAAACCATACCATGGTTTGGGTGGCTAACAGAGATAAGCCCCTCCCTGATCCATTTTCGTCTAAACTCGAACTATCTGTAAAAGGTGAACTCATCCTCCTGAAGCAATCAAAAACAAAGATTTGGTCAACTAGATCATCATCAAACATTCTAAATGCTACTATTGCTGTTCTTGAAGACAATGGAAATCTTGTTTTGAGGAAACGTTCCAATTCCTCGGTTATAGTATGGCAGAGTTTTGATCATCCAACAGATAACTGGCTTCCAGGAGCTAAGCTTGGTTTGAATAAGCTCAACCATCAAAGACAAATCTACCGTTCATGGAAAGATGTTAACGATCCTGCACCGGGGACATTCTCACTTGAGCTAGATCCAAATGGAGTGAAGCAGTACTTTATTACATGGAACAGTTATCGACATGGGACTTGTGGATTTTGGCCAGGAGGGGTTTCTGTCTTTGGTTCGAATATGCTAGTAGACAACTACATCAAGATGGTCTATAAGTCAAATGAGAAAGAAAACTACTTTGCATACTCAGTAACAAACGCATCGATTCTTACAAGATTTGTGATGGATTCATCTGGGCAGCTCAGACAACTGACATGGCAGGAAGATTCCCAACAATGGGATCTGATTTGAGCTCAGCCAAAGCATCAGTGTGAGATATATGCCTTTTGTGGGGAATATGGTTGGTGCAATCAGTATAGTGTGCCAACATGCAGGTGCTTACAAGGGTTTGAGCCAAAATGCCCTGAAGAGTGGAGTACAGGAAACTACTCACATGGCTGTGTAAGACAATCTTCTTTGCAATGTGGCAGAGGTGGTAAAGATGGTTTTTTGACGATTCCAAACATAACACTACCAGCAAATCCGGTATCTTTGGCAGTTAGGAGCTCTGATAAATGCAAATTGGCTTGCTTGAGGAACTGTTCATGTACCGGATATATTTATGATACTGAGTGTTTGATATGGCAAGAAGATTTGGTAAATGTTCGGTATCTCTCATTTGGCAACAATATGGGAAGAGACCTACAGCTCCGGCTGGCAATGCCAGAGCTGATAACCTACAAAAGCAAGACAAAGGGAAGGATAAATGATGCAATCATAAGTGCTGCTGTAGCGTTTGTTGCTATACTGGGTATTATCTTGGGGCTTGTCATCACGTGGAGATGCAAGAAGATGAAACTTTTGGGGCTACAGAAGGCTAAAGAGAATTCATTAAAGCTCTTCAATTACAGTGACCTACGCAACGCAACAAATAATTTTCTGAAAAACTGGGGGAAGGAGGCTTTGGTTCTGTTTTCAAAGGAACACTGCCCAATTCAGCTCACGTAGCTGTGAAGAAACTCAAATGTCACAAGAAACAAGACAAGCAATTTAGGACAGAAGTGAGCACCATTGGAATGATCCACCACAAAAATCTTGTATGCCTTCAAGGATTTTGTGTTGAAGGTACGAAAAAATTTCTACTCTATGATTACATGCCAAAAGGTTCTCTAGATACTCATCTGTTTGGAAAGCATTCTGACATTTTAGACTGGAAATCAAGATACCAAATAGCAATTGGGACTGCAAGAGGATTGACCTACCTCCACGTGGAGTGCAGAGATTGCATCATTCATTGTGACATTAAGCCTGAGAACATATTACTTGACGCCTGGTATAATCCTAAGGTATCTGATTTCGGCCTGGCCAAGATCATAGGTCGAGACTTCAGCCGTGTTCTGACAACTGTAAAAGGAACTAGAGGCTATCTTGCACCAGAATGGATTTCAGGACTGGCTGTCACACCAAAAGCTGATGTTTTCAGCTATGGAATGTTACTCTTCGAAATCATATCAGGAAGAAGGAACTCGGATACTAAGGAAGATGACATAGATGATTACTTTCCCGCTCAAGTCATGAAAAGGTTGATCAAAGGGGATGAGATTATAACCTTATTAGATTACCAGTTGGGTGGGAATGCAGACATGGAAGAGGTTACAAGAGCTTGCAGAGTAGCTGGTTGGTGCATTCAAGATGACAAAGAAGAAAGACCATCCATGGGGCATGTTGTCCAAGTCCTGGAGGGAGTGTTGGAGGTGATCACACCTCCAATTCCAAGGTTTCTTGAGCACATTTCAAAGTATCTGGCAGAAAAAAATGTTTTCAACTAGTCTTTCTGAAAATGTGCTTTGGCCAGAGTCTCATTTCCTAATCCCTTGCTTGTCTGTTGTTTGTGGATGAATGTACCAATGAATTAACCTAATTATTTATAACCATTGAATTAACAATGTATCCTAATATTTGTTATAGTCCGTAACTAATCTAATGATTGTGATGAATTAGATCAGTAAATTAAATCTAAATAACACTATTAAAAACGAAGTATAGGAAGATTTTGTTTATGAATAATATGGATTAAAACTTGTTCAAGTTCATTTGTTTTAAAGTGCGTTTTAACAAGCCGACTGAGTTTGACCAATAACTTATTGAACTCGAGGCTAATAATGATATGTATAGACCGCACACAATATATTATATTATTAGATGCAAGTGCTTGTACATATGCTAGCAAACACATTTTGCTTATTTCCTCAAGTCTTGGAAGCAAATTGTAAATGCCCACATGAAGGGATTAGATAACTTGGTCATGCATTCATTCGACAAATCTAAAGGCCTTAGAGTTTAGTCTCTTATTGGGACCATTCCCAATACATTATTCAAGTAATTCTCGGTTTGCATGGAGATGGAGACCTGAAGATTGTATGTGATCGAAAAAACAGAGTGTGGTGCTATAAGAAACCCATATGTCTGTCTCCTAGTGTTCACCTCCCAATCTAGGTAGAAACAATTTGCCACTTGCCATGGCATATCATATACTATAACATCCTATTTTCTTTAATCGGCATACAGTAATTCTAATTGAATTCATGACGGATAATTTTACAAAATGAGGTACATCGAGTGGCCCACAGTGCACACCCAAGAAGGTACATCAGTGATTTCATTGCCAAGATGAACAGGTAAGACGGCCCATTTCAGAGCAGACTTAACCCAATATGATGGACTAGTACTACACTCATCATCTCCACTACTATGATGTAAACCGGTCATTGTGTGAGTATGACAATCAAGTCGCATTATATCGTACTTAGTATATGTGCAAATATACACGTTAAAAATTATAGAAATAGTATCTTTTGGATAATCAGACTGACCGCAATTTTCAAATCAAATTTGATTTCAGAATTGATTGAATCTAGTTTAGACTCCGATCCATTGACAAGCACATCAGCATGCATGGTGCCTGGGTGTTGAACCCAACACCATCTCATAATTGACCCAACAGTAGCGAAGATTATGCCTTGCTCTCAACTACTGAATCAGCCCATGCGAGTTTTACCAGCAGCATTGTGTGGACTGCCTAGTAAAGATTTAAGTAAAGCTAAAACACCCACAGCTCGGGCCTCCCCTGACAGAGCGCTGAAATGGCAAAGTACCTGTGACCTTTGAAAGAACATCTAGGGAACTTTGTTCCAAGTTTCCAATGCACCCAGAAAGAAAAAAAAAACAATTTGCAGGAATTAAAACACAAACCAATTTTTATAACTAACAATGTGGTATTGTAATTACTTCTCATGCACAACATTCTGCCACGTAGCGTGTATAACTAATAATTGTCCATAACATTAACTCTAATTTTCATGTCTTTATAGAATATAGGTGTATCCGATTGCTGGAAGGATTATACCAAATAAAGTGGCAAACGCAGCCCACAGACAATAGTTTGCCGACTTTTTACGCTTTAGTATGGCCTTAGGAACTTTTGGGCGACTTCTGTACCTGACGGTATTCTCCTTTTGGTCCTCATTCTTTGGTGCAACTGGAGCTGTAGCCTCAAAGTGTTCATCGACCCTCTCTGGTGCAGCAGCCTCAGAATCCGGAGGAGTTTTAGAAGCTCCAGCCTTCTTCTTTCCCCTCTTCTCACGCTCCTGTAGGTTGAAAACACACTTGATAAGCATGAAACAGACATGAAACAGCTACTCAACAAAATCTTCAAAAATAAAGAAATCAAATAATAATTTCCTTAAGCTTCTTCTCAGCTTCCTTCTGAGCTTTTATAGCTGCTTTGTTGGCCGCTTTCTCTGCCAATTTCTTCTTCCTTTCCAGGGCCTGCTTAGCCTTGGCCATCTCTTCCTCTCTCTTCATCTCCTTCAACTTTGCCTCATCAACTTCATTTCCCTTGGGAGGATCCTTTTGCTGCTTTTCTGACTCAGAGATTCTCTCGTTGCCTTCCAATTCACTTTGCTCCCAAGTGCTTTTCATTGGTTTGGTATTTGCTTCTTGATGGTGTTTATTATTTTTTTCTTTCTGCACTTCCGGATTGGGGGGAGTAGTGTGTTGTGGAGGGGAAATGGAATCTTCCTTTGGTTGTTTAGCTTTGTTTTTTGCCAGAGTCTCGGTTTCAGAGGAACTTAGTGCCTCCGGTAACAGTAGTGGTTTCTCATCAGGGTTCCTCCTCCTTGCATCGTTACTAAACTGTCGTATGTCCAGTGACTGCAAAATTTTTTTCTCATAATCACCCCTAAAAGCCTTACTACTATTCCACTGGGACATGAATTTCTCAACCTAATCAAAAAGAAGATGAAATTTATGTCAAATGCTACAACCATTGCAACAACAGACTGGCAGATATTCTTGACTAAGAACAGCAATTAATACAACAAACCTCAGTACTAGAAAGTTCTGTCAGGGCTTCACAATCTTTCTTTGCAGCGAGCTCTCTGGACTTGATCAAGAACAAACGGTTTTGGTAGAAGCAAGCATTCTGTAAAATGCACAGATATGGATTATAAATGTCTTCCACAAAACACTGAAGTTTAGAATTTTAAGGAAATCGACATACCCCCTCTTTGCGTTGTTTTCTCAATTGCTGAATATTTTCAAAAGTGTGGCACCTTTTTTGTGTTACAATCTTCAATTCCTCCTCCAAAGAATTGATCTGTTTCTCTATGGCCTCTTTTTCATGTCTAAGTTGCTTAATCTTGGCTTTAACTACTTGATGTTCCTTTCGAACTGCACCTGAATCCACACCTATAAGCTACAATGACATAAGAAGAATCAGCACAGTGATAAAATATGATACAGAAGATAAAAAAGGATGGTATCAATACTATTAGAATAAATGCTAAACATAGATTTTGTTTATTAGGTCTATAGAAGTGCCTTACTTTGGCCTGGACTTGAATGGTTTCTTTTCCACCCAACGAATCCTGATTCTTTGCCCTCATAGCAGCATTAGAAGCGACTCTTTCCCTTGTCCCCTCAAGCTGTTTAATTTCTCTAAGAATTTGTTTCTCCTCGTTTAGGGTAATGCTTTCATGTTTAATGCAATACTCTAGGCTTTTAATCTGAATAGAAATTTGTCAACAAAAACATGAGGCGACGAGTACTTGCTGAACCAACACATGAGGCAATGCCTTGACTATAGCACAAACATGAGGGAATAAATCCCAGCACTTCAAAAAGCCTAAAAAAAGGACTTACAAGATCATCAAGCTCTTCCTCGGATGAACATATACAAACACCACTCTCTCTGCCCACAGTCTTCGAACCACGAAACTTGTCCAAAGCCTGCTGTGGAGGTTCCATTTGTTTTCTCTTCTCATCCATGATCATCCTGAACTGCTCATTCTCAACATTTAAAGACTTTAATTGACCAACCATTTGTGCTCGATCTGCCTGTAGAAAATGTAGGCAGAAATCAATTTGGACTCTGTATCATATGGTTCACTCACAGTCTTTTTAATTGTAACAGTCCCTTCAATTGATTCCCTCCAAAATGCAAAAATACCATACAAAAATTGTTTTGTTTCATGTGAACAAGATGACGAACATTTACTTCCTACATTTTCAACTTATACTGGTTCAAAAGACAGCCAACATGTTCACTTGTTACGATATCAATTATCATTCTTTCTTTTACCCTCTAGTTATTTTTTATCTTTGAAGCACGGACACTCTCAAGAATGTGATACATACGTGTCGGACATGGACATTGTCGGACACGTGTTCGATACTCTTTTATCCATGTCCATAATTAAATGAATTTTTGTTTTTAATTTCGAACACGTGTCCACTTCTATAGTGACATGTTCGACACTTCATTAATGGCGAAAAGTAAATCAAACAAAAAGTCTGATTTTATAACTTGGGTATTATAATAATTTTATAATTTCATTAACGACACCAATTACTTCACCTTTAATACATAATAAATGTGCATAGTTTTAAATGTAGGAAGCCAAAACTCCCCCATCCCAAAAGAAATAATAAAAGAAAAAGAGCATTATAAAATCAGCACAATCTGCTTGTTAATATCATCAATGGACAACATTTATAAGGCAGTAAGTAATAAACTCAAGAAGAAAGTAACCTTTAAACATACCCTTTTTGCCCTCAATTTTTCTATTATCTGATATCTGGCTTGATTATTTGTTTGAAGCTCTTTGTCAGCCTGATCCAATCTGGCATTTAGTTTTTGGTCATTATATGATCTATACTTGACCAAATAAAATTTATGGATCTGCTTAGGTCCATGCCATTGATCAACTGCATCCTTGGGAAAGTTGGCTTGGGGAATATTTTCTTGTTCTTCTTTAACTGGCTCATCTTTACAATATGAACCAAATTGTATGGGCTCATCCATACAACATGAACAAGACTTTTCGGGATCATCCATATGATACGAACCCAACTGTATGGGGTTATTAAGCCTTCCATGACTTAATTTCCCTTCAGGCTTCTCATGCAATAAAGACATATTTTCTTTAATTCCATCTTCCACATAAACAGGAGTCACCTCTGATTTTACAATTTCTACACCCATCTCATGCAATAAAGATATGTTTTCTTTAATTTCATTTTCTATAGAAACATGAGCCACCTCTGATTTTACAACTTCCACACCCAAAGATATGTTTTCTTCAACTCCATCTTCCACAGAAACTAGAGCCACCTCTGATTTTATAACTTCCACACCCATCTCATGCAAGAAAGATATGTTTTCTTCAATTCCATCTTCCACAGAAACAGAAGCCACCTCTGATTTTACAACTTCCACACCCAAAGATATGTTTTCTTTAACTCCAACTTCCAGAGAAACGGGAGCCACCTCTGATTTTATAACTTCCACACCCATCTCATGTAACAAAGATATGTTTTCTTCAATTTCATCTTCCACAGAAATAGAAGTCACTTCTGATTTTATAACTTCCACACCCAAAGATATGTTTTCTTCAAATCCATTTTCCACATAAACGGGAGTCGCCTCTGATTTTATAACTTCTACACCTTTCTCATGCAATAAAGATATGTTTTCTTCAACTCCATTTTCCACATAAACGGGAGTCGCCTCTGATTTTATGACTTCTACACCTTTCTCATGCATCAAAGATATATTTTCTTTATCTCCATCTTCCACAGAAACAGGAGCCACCTCTGATTTTTCAATTTCCACATCCATCTCATGCAACAAAGATATGTTTTCTTCAACTCCATTTTCCATAGAAACAAGAGCCACCTCTGATTTTACAACTCCCACATCCATCTCATGCAACAAAGACATGTTTTCTTCAATTTCATCTTCCACAGAAACGGATGCCACCTCTGATTTTATCTCATGCAACAAAGACATATTTTCTTCAATTTCATCTTCCACAGAAACGGGAGCCACATTTGATTTTACAACTTCCCCAATCTCATGCAATAAAGACATGTTTTCTTCAATTCCATCTTCCACCGAAACGGACGCCACTTCTGATTTTACAACTTCCACACCCATGCTTACCACCAATTGTTAACACAGCTGGAGTCTTCAGAAATCCCAAATCCTAACAGGAAAGCAAAAACAATCAAGTATACAAACAGAAAAAGACATGTTTGATGAAGAAGTCGCGTATACAAAGACAATAAAACCAACTTGGTAGTAAAAAAACCAGTGCCAATATGAATGGGGAGAAAAAACAATCTCAATCCAACAACCTTGGAAGGTTCTGTAACGAAAAAGGTCTCTTTTGCAATCAACATTAAATTAAACTCAGAAAACCACCAAGGTTGAAATAATTATTATTAATTCAGAACTATTTTTTGCCAACAATTCATTCCAAAAGAATTTATAAATTTAATAAATATGATCTTCATAATAAAGATCTTCCAAGTTTACGAGGTTCAATATACCACACAATGAAAAGAAACCGAGCGACAAGTTCAGCAATGAGTGAGCATGATCATTAATAACTGTACATGTTGGAATATAAGCAATATATATCGATTGGGAAACGAAAAGTTTCCTGCAAATAGAAAAAAAAAACGAAACAATCTCAAGGATTTTAGTATTGTCTGAATAAAAAAACAACGAACTTTAGCAAATCAAAAAGAATACAGCCATGAACAAAAAATAATTATTTCAACAACAAACCCTATAATTCAACATAATACAATTTAAGAATCTAAAAACAACTCGTCAAAAAGATCAGATCTTTTTTTCCTACAATGCAAGCACGCACTAGACAACAACAAACATATTGGCAAGCTGATCAGAGCAAACCCTTCAAAAATATCAAATCATTCCACAAAACCCATAGCAAAAAAAAATCAATATTCACCTCTTTAAAACAATCTAAACTACCTAGCAGGATCGATATCGATGTGGATTTTGATAAAAAAAAAAAAAAAATACAAACAGTGTTAAAAAAAAAAGGCGGGAAATCCTTGGGAATGAGAAACAAAGTGGGGAGAGAAAGAGAGAGATTCTTACGTTAAACTGATAATTTCGCTTTCTGTTCTAGTTTTTTTGTTTCTACAAGCAGCAGTGAATAAAGGAGTAGAGATTTTCTGGTCAGCAATGATTATAAATATGGTGAGATAAATTAGAGTTAAAGTAGGATTTATGTCGGTTGAATCTGTGTTTTAATGAAATTCTGTTTGACATATTAATGTTGTTATCCAATGTGATAAAACAAACTGATGATCGTGTATAAATAGAAGTCATGTTCGGATTATGTCAGACTGACTCGTGTTCGTGTTCTATTGAAATTCTACGTTCATGTCATGTTAATATAATTTGTCAATAATTATTATTTATTTCGTTCTTAAATATCTGTCATTTTACATAATTTTTTTTGTTCCATAATATCTGTCGTTTTATGAAATCAAAACATAATTAATATTTTTTCTTCCAAATTTACCCTTAACTTTTCAATGCATTAGATTAGGTGGATGCTAAGTGTCTTTCATATTCTTTTCTTTCTCAATACATATTAAATAATTGTATTTTAGTTTTGTGTAATTATTTTTTACTTATATTACAACTATTTAATAGTTTTCCTTAATCCCTATGCAAAAACTTTAAACGACAGATATCTAAAAACGGAGGGAGTATTTTTTTTAAAAAGGGGAGGAGGGGTTTGATTTGAATAAACTATAAAATATAGTTAATTATCTATTTGGTCTTGACATATACTATTATTTATGTCAATTAAATTCCTGAAATATGTTTATGTCAATTTTAACCTCTAAACTGTAACATATATGTTAACATGACCCTTTCGTCTAAATTCGTCGTTAAGTTTGATGAAATTCTTAACATACACAACACGTGATCTTTAAATTATACCCTAATCTCAGATTCACGTGATGTGCACATAAAATTTTTTATCAAAGTTTAATGGCAAATTTTGATGGAAAAAATTCACAAATTTGGATGGAAGGGCCACATTGACATAAATGGTATAGTTCAAGACAGGGACGAAGCCAAACATCTTCCTCAGTGGAGGCGACAATTAAAATTCTAAATTTTCACAAAAGTATAGATTTATTAATAAAACGTCAATTAAAAGCGCAACCAATATACATGAGTTATATATAAAAAGAGCTAATAACAAAAGCTCATTATAAATTTATTTACAAGACATAAAAAAAATTTGAATTAAAAAATTAGGCTCAATCATATATTTTGAATTTATACATGGGAGAATCTAAATTGTCGAGCATCTTATAAATATTCATAGTTGTTTTCGACAAGTTTTCATATTTATAAAACGTTGTTTGATAATTTCATTATCAATGGTCTTTAAATTTTTTTTCTCGATATATGTAACTAAACAATCATTTATCTGTTGATCTTTCATTTGATTGTGTAGTTAATTTTTTAAAAATTAATTTATTTAGTCACAAACTTATTATTCATCAATGGATTTTAACAAATAATAAAAACTNTGCTAAGTGTCTTTCATATTCTTTTCTTTCTCAATACATATTAAATAATTGTATTTTAGTTTTGTGTAATTATTTTTTACTTATATTACAACTATTTAATAGTTTTCCTTAATCCCTATGCAAAAACTTTAAACGACAGATATCTAAAAACGGAGGGAGTATTTTTTTTAAAAAGGGGAGGAGGGGTTTGATTTGAATAAACTATAAAATATAGTTAATTATCTATTTGGTCTTGACATATACTATTATTTATGTCAATTAAATTCCTGAAATATGTTTATGTCAATTTTAACCTCTAAACTGTAACATATATGTTAACATGACCCTTTCGTCTAAATTCGTCGTTAAGTTTGATGAAATTCTTAACATACACAACACGTGATCTTTAAATTATACCCTAATCTCAGATTCACGTGATGTGCACATAAAATTTTTTATCAAAGTTTAATGGCAAATTTTGATGGAAAAAATTCACAAATTTGGATGGAAGGGCCACATTGACATAAATGGTATAGTTCAAGACAGGGACGAAGCCAAACATCTTCCTCAGTGGAGGCGACAATTAAAATTCTAAATTTTCACAAAAGTATAGATTTATTAATAAAACGTCAATTAAAAGCGCAACCAATATACATGAGTTATATATAAAAAGAGCTAATAACAAAAGCTCATTATAAATTTATTTACAAGACATAAAAAAAATTTGAATTAAAAAATTAGGCTCAATCATATATTTTGAATTTATACATGGGAGAATCTAAATTGTCGAGCATCTTATAAATATTCATAGTTGTTTTCGACAAGTTTTCATATTTATAAAACGTTGTTTGATAATTTCATTATCAATGGTCTTTAAATTTTTTTTCTCGATATATGTAACTAAACAATCATTTATCTGTTGATCTTTCATTTGATTGTGTAGTTAATTTTTTAAAAATTAATTTATTTAGTCACAAACTTATTATTCATCAATGGATTTTAACAAATAATAAAAACTAATTTAAACTATGTACATTCTATTAAACTAAACTTAGATATATAAATTACGCAACCTATCATAATAAAACTATTCAAACCAGCAAATCAAAACAATTTAATCTAATGCATAATAGAAGACTACAAGCTCCAATTCTAATACAACGTATAAGAATAAAACAAAAGAGATGATTACAGGCCTAATTCCAATTCAAAATAAAAATTAACACGGAAAGAGAATTACAAGCCCCAATATCAATTAAATATATAAAAAAATAAATACATGACTATAAACCTCAATTTTAATTTAATACATAAAATAATAAAATACAGAAAAAACTACAAGTCCCGTAAATTTTTTAAAACTTTAAAGTAAGTCAAATATCTAATAAATTCTAAAAATTTTGAAATTATACTTACACCCCAAATTTTTTAAAAATTCCAGTGACCTCCACCACTGATTCAAAAATAAATTGACACAAAACATAATTGAGGCACTTAATTGCCACAAATAGTATAGTTTATGGCCTCAATAAAATATTTGATATTCTTTAACTGATCCATGAACCGTTAAACCCGCAATATTTTAAACAACCCGACCCGGTCAATGCTGATTTTTGGCCCTTTTGGGCATTTTGCCCAAAATCGCTCCCAGACCTCCAGTCCACCCAAGCTCCCCTTGCTCGGCGTCTCTGCCCCTTTGCGACGGTCGACGACAGCCTGAGTCTTTCTCTCTGTCGACTCTCTGTGTCGACTCTCTGTGCTGCGAGCAAGCAAGGCTGCAAGGGACTCCTCAATCGATTTGTATGTAACTCTAAAAATTCGAAGAAGAAAGCTGCTTCAGAACTCCATCGTGGCAGCGACGACTCCCATTGACAGCAGCAGGTACATACTGTCTCTGCTATATTTGATTTTTTTATTTTTATACATTGAATCTGTAATTAAGATCATATTACTCTGCTTCTCTGCTATTTTTATTGAATCTGTGATTTTTTATTTTGTACATTGAATCTGATTTTTGATTTGTGATTTTTGATATTACATAATTTTTTTTTGATTTTTATTGAATCTGTGATTCTCTCTCTCTGCGCTGCTATTTTTATTCATTCTGTAATTAATAGCATATTGAATCTGTGATTTTTATAGTATCTGACTCTCTGCTATATTACATACTCTCTATTTAAAAAATTATGCAATTAATTAAGAGCATATTATTTGGGTAATATGCAGTAAGAGCATTAATTTGAGGATTCTTGTTGTTCATTATGTATAATTGGGTTGTAGATTAGTTATTTGATAATACTTATACTATGATTAGGTATTTGTACTATAATAGTTATTTGATTGTTGTTGTGTCTAAAAGAATACAGATTTTGGTATTCATGGACTTTATTAGTGTGTCTCCCTCTCCCTCTCTCTCTCTCATATCCAAATTTAGGAGACATCCACCCCATCCCCAACCCACAGCTCCACCATTTACATCCACAGCTCTTGCATATCCGGCATGTTTCGACGAAATTTCTCAAAGAACCACAATCATGTTACTCCACTATCATTGGTAACCCTTTCTCTTTTCCATTGTCTGTCAAACTATGCCACCTATCGAACGCCCCACAGCCACCACAGTCACCAATCAAACCCTTCATCAAAATCGTAGCTTTTTGCATTAATTCTCCGGTTAGGTGCACTTTTTTTGAGTATTTTCTTTTTTATTTTTGGTGGTGTACTTTCTCTTTTTTTTTTGCTCAATGCAGAACGATAGAGGATCATTGGATTTGTCACTAGCTAAGTTCCTTTCTTTACTCCACCCGGTTCGTTTTTCCTTGATTTTGTATTTTTTATTTGATTATTTGTGTTACATCACAGTGGAAACCTTCAAGACCAAAAAAAAAAAAGAAGAAGAAGAAAACCAGCAAGCTAAACCATCAAGGCCAAAAATGTACTGGGTAGATTAGAATCAGTTTTAGAATTTTCACATTCAAAACTGAATTTTAGTTTTAATGTTTTATTTTGAATTGAGTGTGCTTAAAGTTTGTTTTACAACCAAGCTCTTACATTGAAATATAAGTTAACAACAACACCAACATGGTTTTTTTCCATTAAGATTCTAGAAATATATTAATAAAAGTTTAATATAAGATATCTAAATACTTTTGGAAAGTTCTAAAAATGGGCGTCATATCTTTATAAAATCCACTTTATATAAAAAAAATATATTGTAGCATCTACAAAGTAAATAACACATCTATTAGATATTTCTAGAAATATGGAAAATTGTAAAATTATCAAATAAATTTTTGGGTGTGAATATAAATTAATTAATATATTTTGACTTTTTTGAACTAATTTATTTGATTAATTGTTATAATCTGTGGTTGGTTTTTTGATGTTAATATAAATATGTTTATTGTTGACAATTTTTTTTGATACTCTGTACCTTCAGGCATAGGCAATTAATATCTAGCGGCGAGTTTATTTTCACTTCCATATTCACCCTGAATCGACAATAAAAAGGAGAGAGAAGATGACAATCAAGCCCTCAAAATGTCAAAACCTTGTAATTCCTTTGAACAATCTTCGCACCAACCTATTCCTCCACCACCGGTGTCTCTTACACAACGGCCCAGACACTGTAGAGGAATTACTGGAGAGACACATAGTAAAAAAGGAGAAAAGCTTGGATGACGATGGAAACGAGATCCTGACTCGGCAACGACTCACTAGCACTCGTCGCGAGGCACTGAGTTTGTATAGAGCCATCATTCGGGGAACCCGGTTCTTCATGTGGCCCGATTCGCGAGGCGTGTTGTGGCGTGACGTTCTAAGAGAGAATGCAAGGAAGGAGTTCGAGTTGGCCCGATTTGAAAAAGATCCGGAAATGATTACCCGTTTGCTTATTGGAGGACATGACGCCGTGGAAGCAGCGCTTGACAAGCTTGTGGAGAAACAGAAGAACCAGATTGAGAAGGAACGAGGTGATCATGATCGTCGCTGATTTCTGGTAATAATCTCAATGTTATGCGTACAAATTTATCTGGAAGATTATGTAATTTCCAATCATTTTAGTTCATAATCGATAAAGAAAAATGCTGATTCACCTTCACAGATGGCCCTTTGTGTTTTTTTAATGTTTTTACTAAATTTTGGGGGATACATTTATATTTTTTAAATCAAACCTAGGTCCTCATGTGATCTCTGTTTGGTAGGCTCAAGGCTGATAGGGCTCACGGACACTATGCATCTGTTTGCTTGCAAGGAAGGAGAAGAAAGTAGAAATTGTGAAATCTTGTGTTTCTTCTAGGATTCTAGTAAGTAATTGTCTTTGACTTGAGTATGATGTCTCTTAATTGTATAGTTTCTTAAAAAACTAAAAAAGTGTAAGGATTATACCTGTGAAGAGGAGTTCAATAGCAAGCAAACAAGTGGGTTTGATGGACCTTATTTTTTATTAAAATATGTGGGGTTCATTTGCATTTTTGGTGATTTATTATTAAATAGTTACATGACCACATGACAGTGTTGATGTGGTGTAACCGTTGTGGTGAATATTTTCTCAAGACGAGAGCATGCATGCCAGATTTATTGATTTTGGTCTTAATCTAATTTAGGGCAGTATGGATGTTATGTTATGTGTTGGTTTTTGGTTATTAAGCTTTGATTGGAAGTTTAGGAAACTTAAGTTAAAGCTGTTTAGAGCTCTAAGATTGACAAGGGAGCTCGAAGGGTTTAAAATTTAAATTGATTTTTCCTTAGAGTAACTGGTAGTACTTGGAACAATGTGGTTGATTTTATAGGCGTGGTCAGTTGCCTGGGTTCAGAAGAAGAAAATCATTTCCTTTTGTCTGTTCACCGATAAAATAGATGCGCATCTCGATTAATCATCTTCTATGGTTAATCAAAAGCAAGTCATGTACACCGACACTAGGGTATTTATGAGAGATAAATTTATCATAATTTAGTTTTAAAGAGTTATCAAAATTTAAACTAAACATGTTTGTGTTTACAATTAGTCCATATGGAGGGAGTGATATACGACTCTCACAAAAACTAGCTCAAGTTCTGAGGTTTTTTTAGCTATTATGACTACAGGTAAGCATAGTAGCAGTATGTATGGCTTGGAAAGTGTCCTCATATCCGTATGCTCAAATCTATATAGAGGATGACCAAAAAATAGTGTCAATTGTCTTGTGTCGTGTTATTTTTGTGTTATATCACTTTCGATACGTGTCAAGTTCGTGTTAATAAAAAGTTATTTAATTTGACAACAACTAATATAATATTATTTAAAAAATATAAAAAATTATAAAATTTTTATTTTTTCTACAATACTCGTTAAATAATTATTTTTTATCTACAATACTCATTAATTGTGTTATTTGTGTCGAACTTTAATTTGACTCATTTGTTACTCGTGTCAACTAATCGTGTTATTTACGAGTTCATGGCGGGTCGTGTTAACGGAAAAAATTAACACCCCTACCAAAAAACTATCTTTGAATACATAATCAAATCAATCATTTCTACCAACACATAATCTCTAAATTATACCCAAATTTCTGATTCACGTAAGATGTTCTATATAATATAACAACGAATTTGGACATAAAAGTCATATCAACACAAATAATATAATTCAAGAAATAAATTGACACAAATAGTATAGTTTAGAGGTTAAATAAATAATTAACTCAATAAAATTTATATAATAAAGTAGTTAGATTGTTTATCTTGAGTTTTTCACAGCTCAGATCGTTTTGATCTGATGGTCCTAAATGGACTTTCATGTCTTTTATAACTCTAAGACTCTCATCTCTCTCTCTCTCTTATATTGTTATCTTTTTTTTTTTGGTTTCCTTTATGTTATTTTTGTTATTATTTACTCCATAAAAACAGATGAAATTACATGTTATATAATTATTTATTCCATGTAACTAATTTTAAGTTTTTATATATCTGACAACATGTATTTTACCACTTGTTTCTTAACTTGTAAATAACACTTAATGTAAATCAAAAAATAGCAAATAAAAATTAAATAATATTAAACACAAAATGAACTTTAAATTATAATTTTTTATATAATTTATTCAAAAAATGACATTTAATTTTGTCTAATTTATATTCAACTTTGTCGAATTAATATCTAATTAATTTTTATTGTTATCAAATTAATATTGAAATTTATTTAATTAATTTTTTGCAGTACTAAATTATATCAAATTTTATTAAAATTTTAAAATTTTTTTGATATTGAATTTTGAGAAAAACAACTGTAAAAATAATAAAGTTTTTTGAGATGAAATTATGAATTTACGTTAGCAATATTGACAAAAGGGAGACAGAGGGGGTCTTTGTGCAATGTATTTTAAACATCAGAGGTTTCTGTGTTATTTATAAAATGTCAAGAGATGTCTATGTAATATTACCAAAACTCAGGCTATGTCTGTAATTTTTTCCCTATTTTTTAATTAAATATTAAAATCTTACAAACTTGAATTATTGTATTTCTAATAAAAACAGTTATTAGTTAGGAGAGTTTGTTGGTAACCAAAAAAAAAATGTGTGTGGGGTGTTTCTATGTATATTTATCTGCGGGGGATTAAAAATTTGGTGATTAAATTTATAATTATGTCATTTTGGGGTTAAATGGTAATAGTGGTGATAAATTCATAAGTTTTATAATTGAGCATGATTTGGTTGAATTTATTTATCGCTTTAAGATTGTGAATTTAATTATATTCTGTTAGTTTTTTTATTTTTTACTTGAGGTATTTATTATATGGGAATAGAGTGAATTAAAAATATAGTGGTTGAGTTTATAATTATGTTGTGTTATTCGATTGAATGGTAGTAGAGCTGATAAATTCATGGGTGTTATAAATGAACAAGATTTTATTTATTACTTAAAGATCATAAATTTCAACGGGTTATGTTAGTATTTTTTTTTTCAGAGGCATTTATATATATAGTGTTATTTTGGAGAGTTTTTATATATTTTTATGACAGTTCCATTAATATAGAAGATATGATCGATGATATATTTCGAGTCATTTTAAAAAAAAATTAGTACAAATATTTTTATGTCATTCCTTTTAAATTTGGACAATTATTTAAGATATTTTTATTCATTGTATAATGTCTTCATATACGAGTAATAACTAATATTTAATATTCTTTTTAGATGATCCATGAAGGAACCACCACGATTAGAATCTCTAAGCTCAAAATCCATATCTAGAACTTTTTTGAAAGGCCAAGAAAAGGCATCATTCACATTTTATGGAAATATTAATAATAATTTCATGTTTAAAAATACTCTGCAGTATAAAAGAATTGAGAATTGATCATCTAACATTTTATTTTAAATAGTAATTTTTTAAATTAAGTAATTTTAAAATATAAATGAATAGAAAAAAAAAAGATAGGAGAGAGAAAAGAGAGGTAGATGTGTATTATTGAATTTATCTAGACAGTGTGTTGATTTAAAATTAAATAAAAATTAGATATTATATTTTTACAAATAGATAATTTAAATTACTAGTTATAATATTAAATCCATAGGGACAGATCCGCATTAACATCGAGTAGATGGGCAAACGTGGGATCCATTACGTCGTGGGGGTCCCCGGGGATCCCACCCAATAAATGTTCACCACCTCATTAGTTTCTAGTTCTCTTTGATTTTTTTTCTAAATTAAGCATATCCCGGTTAATTCGAATTATTTATGTCGGGACTAAAATATTTATAACGGATTTAAAGATTTATTCTTTATGATTTGACTTTAAAAAATTGTCAAGATTTAAATTTAGAACATTTAAATTTAATAATTAATATTTGTTACCACTTGAATTACTTGTAGAATTGTTCAGTAATATTTTCAACAATATAAAAATTTTCTCGAGATTTATGAATTACAACATAGACATCAAATTTGACATATTATAGGAAAAAATAAGTTCTACATATTTGTAATGTTGATTTTAAATTTTTTTAAAAAATAAAATAATTATTTACTTAATGATTTTAATGTAAGAACTCCCACAAAGGGGTTTTCTAGTCATTTCCTAAATGTCTTAAGACATATTTTTGGAAAATGACACCAAAATCCTATAATGTTCTATCTATTATTCCAGTTGTACAAATTAAATTATCAATTTATAAAAACATAATAATATGATTAAGATTTATCCAATTTTTTTATCTATTTTAATATAGTGGTATAAATTTATTCCATTTTTTTTTTGCTCAAAAATATTATATTTTCTGAATTACTCTTAATATCAGACAATTCAATTAACACAATTTACAATGCTATATAATTTCACTAATCGACGCCTACCTCTCTCTTATTTTCTTTTTGTTCGCTTTAATTTTAAATTATATAATTTAATAAATTATTATTTAAAATATAAATATTTCACAATAAATGCATAATTTTTGGTATCGTAAAGAGTACAAAATTATGGATTTAGATCCCCACCATTACCTATTTCCTTCAATTTTTCTCATTGTTAGCTGAGTGACATGTGTAAAAGTCTAAAATTCAATGGACAAAATTTTTTTCTTGTGAGAAAATTCCTTAATAATGGTTAATATTTCACTAACACAAAAAAAAAAAATCTTGTTTATTGAAATTTAAAATTTTACATATGTCACTCATCTAACATTGTATCAAGGGGAATGGAAGGAAAGAGATAATGGATTATTACTATTTTTCATCTATATTTAGAGATAAATGTTTTAACTCTGTTTCTATTTGACCAGATTCAGGGGCATCAATGTAATATACCCTTTATTTGTGTAGACAAATCCATCGGTTGTGTTTGACTTCAGATCATATCCAACGGTCACAAGTCAACCTTTGCTTGGCGCAATCATTGGGCAATATATCGCGTCATCAGCTGATCGAATCTTTCGGGTTTTGCATCACTGAAGCATGTCCGACAATTTATTAATGTACATTAAGGGAATCCTAGGGTGCTTTTCAAGCACAAATAATCATTTGTCTCGGAACTACAGTTCTATGCGTTCAATAGGATCGAACGGTCCACCATGTCAAATTTTTGTTCCTTTTTTTTTTTCTCTCTGTTGGTATTTTTGTAAGTATTTTTTTATAACTCAAAAGAGTAGTTCAAGTGGTAATAAGAACGAATTGTAAATTTAGATGTCTTGAATTTAAATCTTCATAACTCCTTGAGGTAATGCTATGAAATATTTTATCCCTCATGAATAGGGATGATAATTGACGGACATTTTCTAAACGTCTAAATTTATTAAACAATTTTTAGACGCATTTAAAAAAAAACGAGTTTGACAAGTTTGTCTTGATTATCAGTCTTATTCACAAATACCCTAATCTTTGTGTAGATGGTCTGCATTTGAAAGGATCGAGGAAGAAATTAATTGAAGTGTACGCAAATTGGTCCAAACACCTCTGACCGTTGAACAAAAAAAAATATACCTTTTCGGATAAAGTCAAAATTATTTTTCGTATAAGTAAAATTAAATGACTTAAATACGATTATTTTTGTAACAGGGGGATAGAGAAATAAAATTAGAAGAGCAATTGTACTTCAATGTAATTTATTGATTTAATTTGTTGTATTAATTATGCATAACCATGAGATTTATACGGAGTCCTAATATGTATTGAGGCCAAGGGCGGAGGCAACCTTGCTCTAGGATGGGCAATTGTCTCTCCTCAATTTTTTTTTTATTATTTAGGTATATATATTGTATATTTGTATAATATATTATTTGTACCCGCCCAAAATCAAAGACAAAAATATTAATGTACACTTATATCAAATAAATAATTTTAATTATGTATATTTATATCAAATGAACATGAATTTTTTAACACATTTTGGACAAGTTCTGTACTTATCTAAATAAATTTTGAATATATAAGAATTATTTTATATTTTGAATATACACATTTATACTTATTATCTGGAATGAGTGTGCTAAGCTAGAAGCGGTCAGTTCTGAACTTTCAGGTAAGTGCAAATTAATCACACGCATTGAGGTTTTAGTTATCTCACACTCAACAACTTACCCTTGCACCGACGACTGAATGTTTTCTCTTTTTATTTCACGTACTGAATTTATTTCACTTTCAACGGTTGTTCTGATTGAATTTTTTCTCTTTTTATTTCATGTACTGAAATTTTCCTCCAGCAGATGTTTTCTCGGTCCTCGGTGTAAGGTAAGTTTATTTTTAATATTTGAGATTGTACAATTCTTTTGTATTTATTTTCCTTCTTTATTTCGGTTTCACACCTCCGGTGAGGTTTCCGGTGAGGCATTGGACTTGGTCCTTCAATTGGGTGGTGGTGGTGAGCATTTGAGTGTAATAAGCCTAGGTTGGGGGAAACCCAAATGTTATAATGAGGAAACCCTAGATGGAAAAACCAAATTCATATGCTCATGCATTATGCTTGCACAATCTTTTGAACTTCTTTATTGCTAATGTTTAGGAATTTTCTAATATCTCTCATTCTTCACTTTGAGTTTTTATTCTCTTAATTGCCACTGTTTTGCCATCTTTGAGATGGCCACAGTAAACGTGGCTGCTTCCACAATAAAAAAAGAGTATTTGACAAAATGACTTTTTTTTTTTAAACGATTCGTCTATGTTCTGTTCTAAAATCTGAAATCTGAAAACTCCAACCCGTCTTTTGCTTTCACATTTATTTACTGGTCTTCCCATCAGATTTCTGGGTTGGTATTTTTGTCTCCAGTAAAAGGTATGTTGATTTGGGTTTTGTTTCTTTGTAAATGTTTCCTTTTTTGTCTGCTTCATCCACTAGTATATCTCTTTTGCATTCTTGCAATTCGTAAAGTATTTGGAAACTAAGGATGATATTTTACAATTTATCTTTGGTGGGTAGCCGAAATCTTGGATCTTTTGCATTGGACTGTCCTGAATCTTCAGCTGAGGTCTCATATTTTGTTTTTTTTGTGGCCACTGTTCTATTGATTTAGATTGTATCATCTCTTCGAGTTTGAGATTTTTTAAAATTTTGGGTCATTTTCATTGGATGGTTTTTTTTTTATTATTTTATGATTTAATTATTGGGTCTGTCGTAATTCAAAGTTCAATGCGTGGTTTCTGAAATAATTGATGGCGTTGATTTGGGCTTGCAGTCCCATTGCCTTGAATGTGTGCATATATATTTTTTTTAATATTTATGTGAGGTGGATTTAAAGCAAAGCTGAAAGAATGAGAAGCCAAGTCACCTTTATTGTTAGATGGCTAAGATCGTAGAGGATTCAATGTCCTTTGTCTGCTTTCTACTATTGTTACTGTAATTTTAATAATACTTTATGGTTGCATCTCAGTGGTTTTCCAAAGACTGATGTGGTTTTCCAAAGTTACCTTTAAAGTCATTGTTTATGGAGTGGTTTGATTTCGAATTACTAATTAATGATCTCTGTTTATGGAATTACAGCCACAAGAGATCATTGATGTTCCATAGCTATAAACTATTTAATTGAGTTTCTTTCATGTTGCTTTTCCCAGATATTGATTGGGTCTTATCAAATGGTTGGTTATCAGAGACGGGAGACAACGACACCTTCCATTGTACATTGTGCATCTAGCAAACCAGTAAGTCACACATAGCTATGGATGATTTTTACGAGGAGTGGGAGGGGGAGAACGCAGCATTGTTATGAGGTGTACTACATTCCATTAGGCTAATTCAATGAATATTTTTCAATTTGTCAAAACACTTCATTCATTTTGTTTGAATTGCAAGCATGGGAAATATTATGAAGATTGGACTTCAAAAGGGGTTAAAGAACCTTATCATTTATACAACATTCTAAAATGGAAATACATCATTTATGCATCATTTATTTCAATTTTGTAAGTGTGCATATGAGATGATTTGATAATAGTATGTGCTATGATAATTAGTACATAGTTAAATTTCAGTGTGCATATGATATGATTTGATTATGATTATAAACATGTTGATATATTTGTGAAATCATATTTTCAGAATATACTTTGCCGAAAAATTAAAAGTTTCCTACAGAGTATCCACGTATTCATATTCAGTGCTTGATTATTTCACGTTTAAATTCAGTGTTCGATTTTTTTTAGTTGCACCGTACCTTTAGGCACGGGTTATTCCTAAATATTTTATATTATCTAAGACTAAAAAAGACATGATATATATATTCTCGATAGTTTACTTGTAATTTTGACATTTATTTTTGCTAGTTATGGTAAAAACTATAGAGTGCATATTGAACTGCATAATCGATTAAATGATTTATAAATACCAAAGTGATAACATGATTATGTATGTAAAGAATAATAAAGTTGTTATGCAACATTTTTAAAGTACAAAAATTCACCAAAGTTAATTCTAAATGATTTTAATTAGTTAATATTTTGTAAAAAAAAAAAATTATCGTTTGTATATATTAGACTTACCAAATTTTGGTATGGTGGGTTTAATGAACTTTTAAGTATTAAATAGGATGTAATTAAATAAATTATTATCCTATTTCTATCGATTATAAGAAAAAAATAATAATTTGTTGAAATATTCGTGTCCACCCGCTTTGCCCCTGTTGAGACCTATACTCAATTCAATAATTATGATGGATTAGGTGAACAAATTATGTGAACCGATTAAGTCTAAATAATATTATTGAATTTAGAATATTACCTGAAGTTTTTAAAGTTTAAAGGGATAAAATAAAAATTTCAAAACATTTTAGGGTTGAATGTACAATAACTATAGCTATATGTATACGTATGTAATCAGGCCGCGTTGGTCAAAGCAATCTTATAGCAAAGCATGCCGTCTTGGTCAAACCAATCCTATGCAATGCATGCCATAATATGCTTTCTTCCCGGAAACAGTAACAGAATCAGCCCAACGTGAGTGTGTGGAACCAACCCAACCCATCTCTCTCTCTCTCTCTCTCTCTCTCTCTCACAATCGATCACAGTATTGCTGATCTTGCCTTTATTTTAGAAAGAGACAATTTTTCCGTTCTCTGATAATCGAAAATTCAGAGGAAAGGGAAAAAAAAAAAGAAAAGAGAAAAAAAAAAAAAAAGAGACTGTTTCGCTCGCACAATCTGTCCCATATAATTTGTTTCTCAGTTTCTCTCTCCTCAAGAACGTGTGCAACGGGACTCCACTTTCTTCTCTTTGCAGATGCAAACAAGGTTCTTTTTCTTCGTCTCTGGATTACCAACTTTTTTCCTTTTGTGTATATATCGATTTTGTTTCATTGCTTGTGTGTGTAGTTTCGGTTTCGGTTTCGGTTTTGAGCTGCTGATTTTGTTCTTATAATTACATAATAGGATCTTCATGCAACCCATGGTTGTGTTTGTATGTATTGAATCAGAATTATAATTTTTTCCTTCTGTATCTTAGATGGTCCAAACCTTTGAGATTTTTCTCATCCGGGTTTTTTTCGCATGATTTTTTATTTTATTTTTTTGGTAAAATGGGATTTTAGTTGTGCTGTTGGTTTCAGAAATCTGTTATTAAGTTTTGAATATACAGATTGAGATTAGGGTTTTAATTTTTTGTATTGTCTGTTGTTCTTCAGGTTATTCGAGGATTTAGCATCATTTTGATCAGTACTGTGTCGTTTTCATGATACGCGATTGAAAACTCCATAATTGTTAGCTCATTCATATTATTGATTTAACCAATTTTGTTTTCCTTATCTGAACTTATTGTTTTGCTGTCTCGATTTTTCTGATGTGACCTTTCTGGCTTTTCTGTTTGCTCTTAGTTTTTCACGACTCTCTCTCTCTCTCTCTCTCTCTCTCTGTAGGTGTGTTAGTGTTTGTATTTATATAATTATTCGTTTGCAGACAGACAGACATAAAATATAAAATTTAGTTTGCTTTGTTATAAACTTGCCGTATCACCAGAGCTACTGGTTTATGGTGCCTTTGATTTCTCCATTCTATACATTAGTTTAATAGGATGAGACTAACCTTATTTTCTTGGGTGTTTATTCAACAGTTTTAGTCAGAGTTCAAATTACGGAAATCAATTCAAGAAGGCATTGATTCGAATTTCAAGTAGATAAAAATAGCCATCAATTGATTCAGGGGAAAACTATTGAATTGATGATTGAGGACAGCTGGGATATGAGAGTTTTACATTAGAACTCATGATCAAGTTTAGAAATGGGGTCCTTAAACATGGAGAAGAAATGGGTATTTCCTCTTGTAATAAGTTCCCTAGTATGTGTTTTTCTTCTTGCAACCTCTTTCAATATGGGGCTTGTTTCTTCCTTACACACAATCAATTCAATCTTCTCAATTTTCCCGTCTCGTGTTATGACAAACCAAACAAACCCATCTTTTGTGGAAGAAAGGGTTAAGCAAACTCTACCCCCTCCTGCTAGGCCTTCCATTCCTCGTTTTGCTTATTTGATTTCTGGCTCAAGAGGTGATTTAGAAAAGCTTTGGAGAACTCTCCAAACACTTTATCATCCATGGAATTATTATGTTGTGCATCTGGACCTAGAATCCCCAGCAGAGGAGAGATTGGAGCTCTCTTCCCGGGTGGAGAAGAATCCGCTTTTTGCAAAGGTTGGGAATGTATACATGATCACCAAAGCTAACATGGTTACTTATAGAGGACCCACCATGGTTTCTAATACTCTTCACGCATGTGCCATTCTTCTCAAGAGAAATAAGGATTGGGATTGGTTTATTAATCTCAGTGCTTCAGATTATCCTCTGGTGACTCAAGATGGTTAGTCTCTTTCTTAATTTTTCCAGTTGCAAATATTTGGTTGAGAGATCATATTACCTTCAAAGAATCTTTTGATTTACTTATAGCTTTTGTATGCAGATCTTCTACACACGTTTCGAGATTTAAAGCGAGACATGAATTTTATTGAGCATACAAGCCGATTAGGTTGGAAGGAGTAAGCTCTCTCTCTCTCTCTCTCTCTGCGTGTGTGTTTGTGTGTAGCTCGTATGTTAAGAAAACATGTAATGACAAGGTTTTATATTTGGTTCTGTTTCCAGAGGTGAAAGGGCAATGCCATTGATTGTAGACCCTGGGCTCTACCAAACAACAAAATCAGACATATTTTGGGTTACACCACGAAGAACTTTGCCCACAGCGTTTAAATTGTTTACTGGTGAGTCTTTATGCATTTGATTATTGCAAATTTCTGTTGATGTTTAGTTCTTCACAAATGAAAACCTGTTAACACATCATGTCAAAATGTTTTGGAACCATGAAGAATGTAAAACATGTATTGTAAACATTGGTTTATTGTGCCCGTGCATTGTCAGTTTTGTTTTGTTGGTTTCTGTTGTTTGATCATTTGCAGTTTAGGTTTTGGAAGTAGTTCTACGGTAACTTGACTGCTGAAGACCAATTGAATCGCTCCTCACATCCTATTTTGTTTTGTTTCCCTTTTCAAAAGAAAAATGTGATCAAATGTCAGAATTCCTCTTTAGTTTCCCACGAAGTAGCTCTCACCAATTTTTTCCAATTATCACCGAGTAAAAATGCTTTAAGATAAACTGAACATAACTAAGGGATGAACTTGGAATTTAATTAGCAGTTTCAAAGCTTTTTTGCAAGTATCTGATCTGGTTATTTCAGTGTTTCACTTGCTTGTATAAGATCTATACATACTTTTTGCTGGGTGAGCTCATGATCTGCCCATGGTGTCTGGTTTGCTCGACAAGCTGCTACTATTGAATTATCGACCATTAATCATTGTCAACTTCCATCAAGTATTTGACTCTGCAGTTGGCTCTGTTTAAATGAGATAGTGAATGCTGCTCTCGATTGATTAGATTTCCGTAACTCTGAAAGTGCAGTTTATGACGTAAATTCATTAACCTGTTATAAGTAAGAAATAACTTTAAGATTAAGGTTGATTCAGGCCTCTGCCCCCAAAAAGTTACAACAGAAATGCAATGGACTGTAGTTTATGATTTTCTGCTGCATACTGCTACATTTCTTTTCCCATTCTTGTGCGCCAACTTGATTCTGAAAATTGTGAGCATATGCTTATATAGATCCAATTTCTTGTTGCAGGTTCAGCATGGATGATTCTCTCACGTTCATTTGTGGAATACTGCATCTGGGGTTGGGATAATCTTCCTAGAACCCTACTCATGTACTATTCGAATTTTGTCTCCTCTCCTGAGGGCTACTTTCAGACTGTCATATGCAATGCACCAGAATTTGTTTCCACTGTTGTCAACCATGACATGCACTACATTTCTTGGGACTTCCCTCCTAAACAGCATCCTCACACACTCTCTCTTAATGACACGAGCAAAATGATCACGAGTGGTGCTGCCTTTGCCCGTAAATTCAAGGGAGATGATCCTGTCTTGGATGAGATTGACAAAACATTACTCGGGCGAAAAAATGGGAGCTTCACACCTGGTGGTTGGTGCTCCGGCAGCCTCCCTTGTTCCAAGGTTGGGAATCCCACCAAGCTCAAACCAGGTCCAGGAGCAAAAAGGCTTCGCCGCCTTATTGGTAGATTACTTTTGGCAGCTAAAATTAGTCAAAATCAATGTAATTAGACTTTTCAGTGTAGCATTCTTGCCTGCTGGTGGCAGAAGGCAAATGAAATTAGTAGAGTTTAATTCACTCAACAAGCCCCACAATAATCACTGGAATATGGTATCAAAGACAGCTCGATTACCATTGTTTTTTGTAGATTCTGCTTTGGTAAGACAAAGCCACTTGTCTAAAATTACAGAGTTTCTTCTTTGCTTCTCTATATGATCAGTTGCAAAAGTAGCTTTGTATGTCTTTTTGCCTCTCATGGCATGCAAGTTTTCTAAGTTGCTTTGAGGTTCTCCAGTTTGGCTGTGCCTGAGATTTATAGACTTTGACAATGAAAATTTATATTGCATTTGGTACTGTCTTGAGATTTTATACAATGTAATGCTTGAAGGTAACTATTATGGGGTCTGCTTTTTCGTCGTTTAAATGAGTATAGGCATTTTTTGTGCTTTCTTTTTCTGTAATTGCACTGAAGTCAGACAACAGCACGGTGGATGAAAATTTTAGCCCTTGTCATGTCCTCCTTGGCCTCAGTTCCCTTGATAGCTTGGTTGACTGAATAGCACCATGTAATGGCATTTTTGGTGCCTGCCATCCACTGAATGAACAAAAGAGAGGTTTTAGTCTTTGACAGTGAAATATAGATGATGTGTACTTGAGACTATTAAGACATGAACTCAAGAATGAAGAGTTAATGAAATCATGTCTCGGCAATCATCTTCTCGGCCTTTTCTGTCTTTGTCAAACTAGATATGATGAGCAAGTTGGCCAGAATAAATATTTTGTCATATCTGGGTTAATGATACTTATACCCCTACCATCTGCAACTGCTTGCACTTTAACCCCTAAAAAATATTAAGTCTCTGGTAAATTCCTTATTTATACAAAAGTGTTGTTTTTTGCCCTCAAAATGATAGATAAGATTGGGTCTGTTTGAAACTGGTTTAAAACTTTCGTTTTTTTTTTTTTGGGAAAAGAAGTTTGATTCGTTTAGACTCAAGTTTATTTGGTGGCTTCTCCATCAATTTTTTGGATAAAATAGTTTTTATCAGCACCAAGAAATAACTAAAAAATTGGTCTTATCCAAGGATTTCTAAAGAAAAATTGACTTTTTCAAAAACATTTCAAACGGTTCAAAGAATTTTTTTAACTCTAATTTTTTTATTTCATTTTTCAAACCTTTGTTTCGCACCCAAAAAATCAATTCCAAATAAGTCCATTGTGTTTTTCATCTAGTAAAAACACTATCTCGAGCCATTAACCCCTTTTTGAATTTTTCTTTTCTTGATTTTTTTTGTTGAATTCTTCTTTTTTTTTTTCACAAGTTGTTGAGGTCTCTCTTGATGGCAAATACCTCTTAAAGAAGGTGGGACATGGCATAGGCTCCATCACTCAATCAAATTGACAATTTTGGCAGTCAACTCTAGGATGGGAGAATAAATAGAAATAAAAAAAAAACCCATATGGGTCATGTTTGCAATTATTCCTTTTGACCTACCATCTGTTTGAACAATCACAGCATTCTCTCTCTTCTTAATTTCTTGCTAATATTTTTCTTGGCCTTCTGAGAAATTCACTAGCGGAAAAACGTTCTTTCAAAACGCGTTTAATGGCATATCATTTTCTTCCTTGATGTTTCTCAATTACACACCCTGCCACTTTCCTGGTCTTTCACGGAAGTAAGTTTCTAATGCAATACCAAAACTTTTCAAACCTTTTGCTGCAGACATGTCATTACTATGACCACTTCATGATCTTCAGGGCTTGACATTCTATTCCTTTTCTCATCATCCTGGAGTTTCAAGCTCGGTTCTTGGAGACCCAAAGAGGTAGTCCAGTGGTTGGGAATACTCCCCATCCGTGTATTGCGGGATCAAATCTCATCTAAAGAGTACGTATACTCGAAAAAAAATATTGAGTTGTGTTTTTCTGTTGAGTATGTCACAAGCATGACTGTCCAAAAATTAAGAAGATGGTAATACCGAGAATAAAACCATCTTCAATGATGACTTCACTCAACAGCAGAAGAAGACAAATCAGCTCAGTCCAGGCACAAGTCGGCAATTTTACAAACTAAATAACTTGGGTCACAAGGGAAGACACACAGAGTAGTGCCCATCTCTAGATTTCATCTAAGAATAAAATTACTAGTATCACGTTATCTATTTCTAAAATGTCGCGTCATGTGTAGAGAATATAGTTTAATATTTTAATAGATTGAGGGCCCACTCATGATTACTTTGAGGACCACCCTATTAAGTCTGACTGTCAATATCTGGAGTCTTGAGTTCGACTCTTGTTGGTGTCTCCGTGCCCAACCCATATCTGAGCTTTGTGGGTGATTACAGGTATTCACCAATATCTACGCTTTGTAAGATACAGTATAGCTTACAACAAATCTAGATAAGCTCTACAAGAATGACTCATTTCAGGAACTGCAATTGGAGAGAGAGAGAGAGAGAGATTGCCTATTGAACTCTACGATTAGCTACAAAACGAACCCCTTGCCATCTTTAGTGGGAACAGCCCTATACAAAATCCAACCCACTTCCAAAACAACTCATTTTTCCAAGAGAATTGCCAATAAATTTTAGTGATGACCTTTCTTCTCCTTCAATCAAGTCTGCTTAAACCCAGAGCTCAATGACCGGAAACAAATAATGAATTGGTTGATAACTGGCTTCCCTCAACCTGAACTTTTCTCACTTTTGCCTTGTCCAGGCGCGCTCGTCTTGCAGCTTCTTGGATCTGACGATCATGATCTTTCAGCATCTTATCCACTTTGCCTGATGGAACTAGCAACGGACCAGAGTAATGAATTTTCTTGGCCTTTGATTCATAACCAAGCTGGAGAAACATAAGCAACAACAATGAATAGGTGTAATTGAAAATGCTTCATTGAACACCTGATCAACCTCTTCAAAAAATAACTATTCTTGTAGAATTCAGCAATAAAAATGAGATTACTATCTCCTAATAGTTTACTGGTATTTACAAACAGCAAGCATACTTGAATAATGTGTGTGAGCAGTGTTAAGAAAAGGGTGCACTTGTCGGAACTTACAAGAATTGGATCTTTGTTGGTCGTTCTTCCTTCCTCATTTTGGTGAGAGTCTGCAAGTGCCTGATTCGTTGGATCCTGCTTTACCATGGAATATGAAGCCTCCTTGAAAGATCCCGGAAACCGGCCTATTAGTTTTGGAACTTCATGTTGTGTAGTACCAGACTTCTCCCTGCGATCTTCGGAAACCAAACTCCTCCTTGCAGCCACTAAACCAGACATTGTTGATAAGTCAGCCCCAGTTGACATTTTTGGAACATCTTCCATGTTCTTTCCAGCCTTCATCCAGGCAGCACGGTTAACTAATGGACCAGAATGAGAAGCTCTCTTATGATGCCCCTGGGAATCATTGCTTGCTTCTTCAATGGCTTGGGATGGTCTGGGTGGGTCAATTGGAAAGCCAGAAGCAACTTCTTCCTGATGAGGGTTGAACATCTCACTCCGGCTCTTGGAATTGGGCTGGCCTTGTCTTTTCTGTAACCATATAGCTACACTGAATATACAGATATTTTTTTCCAAAAAAAAAAAAAAGGAGAATTCCCCCACCCCCCCCCCCCCAAAAAAAAAAAAAAAAAAAAAAAAAAAAAAAAAAGAGGGAAAAAAAAAAAAAAAAAA